GCTTCAAAACATGAATTTGGTGGAGGACATAAGCATTAGCAAAGAATAGACACATAGATTAATAAAACAGAATAAAGCTTAGAAACAGACCTGCACACATACAGTCAGGTGATTCACAACAAAGGCAATAATGGTGAACGTACAGGTTTTCCAATAAAAGGTGCCTGAACAATTAGATATCTATACACAAATTATAATAACCTGGACATATCCTTACATATTCCACGAAAATTTGCTCAAGATACATCATAGACCTAATGAAAAATCCAAAAACTATACAACCTCTATAAGAAAACATAAGAGAATATCCACATAACTTTGAGTTTGGTGATGAGTTTTTAAATTCAACACCAAAAGCATGATCAGTGAAAGAAAAAATTGCCAAGTTGATTTTATTAAAATAAAAATCTTATGCTCTTCAAAGGACTATGTTAAGAGAATGAAAACAGAAGCCACAGACTAGCAGAAAACATCTGTGGTACACATATGTGGTAAAGAACTTGTCTCTACAGTATGTATGAACTCTTAAAGCTCAACGATAGAAAAAAATGAAAACAGTCAAAGATCTGAACACACATTACACCAAAGAAGATACACACATGGCAAATAAGCATACTAAAAGTACTGAGAGTCCTTTGTCATTAGATAATTGTGTACTAAAATGAGATACCACTACACACCTATTAGAATGTCCAAACGGACTGGGCGCGGTGGCTCATGCCTGTAATCCCAGCACTTTGGGAGGCCAAGGCGAGTGGATCACCTGAGGTTGGGAGTTTGAGACAAGCCTGACCAACATGGTGAAACCCCATCTCTACTAAAAGTACAAAAAAATTAGCTGGGCGTGGTGGCACATGCCTATAATCCCAGCTACTAGGGATGCTGAGGCAGGAGAATTGCTTGAACCTGGGAGGCGGAGGTTGCGGTGAGCCGAGATTGTGCCATTGCACTCCAACCTGGGCAAAAAGAGTGAAACTCTGTCTCCAAAAAAAAAAAAAAAAAAAGAATATCCAAAATCCATAAAAAGCAAAACAAGAAAACAAACCAAGACCAATTGCCAGCGAAGATGTGAAGCAACAGAAACTCCGGGCCTGGTGTAAATTAGTATTTTATCAAATGGCGATGGCTGTTATTTCTAATAATTTTAAACCCCAGGCCCTAACACTCTGGGATTTTGTTGTTGTTGTCGTTGTTCTCCAGGAGTCATCAGAGAATATACATCTCAATAGGACATAGAATACTTAGCCTAAAAAGGAAGCTTCACCCATAAAATTCAGTTAAGTATTTCTTATTAGAGAATGTACTTCAAAATTTGGGTGTGCAGGAGTTTTGCCCAGCCAGGTGCAGCTCAAAGCTCCTAGAATCTGTGTCAAAGACCTACTCCTTCCCTCTCTCCCAGTTGCTTTCCCACCCAAACCACTATTTATATCCATTTTGTTACCATCTAAAATCTGGCTCATGCTTACAATTGATCAAATTGCACTTGAGATAACCTAGTTAGAATGCCTTTTTAATGGAGTCAGCTCTGGCTCTCCCTGCTCGGCAGAAAAGCACCTGGCCAGTGGCTTCTGGGCCACCCTGCTGGGAAATTCAGCCTTATTGCTCAGGAAACCCATGCAGATGATGGATGCCCTTCACCTAGATCTTGGGTTGTGTTCAATAGCAGTGGGACAAAAGCACAGGACACCTTCCATTCCTGCCCCAGGTGGAGACTCCTCTCTCTTCATCCCCGATCCGAGATAAACCACTCAGAGTTGCTTTCCATTCCAGGCTTTTCTCTCACTCTCTGAGAATCTGGCCCTGGACCCACCCAGCTTCATTAGAGTCAGCTCCTTCAGAAGGAACTGCAGTTTATCAAAGCCAAAAATGCCCCAACTCAGGGCATTTACACTCCACCACTCTCACCTGGAGCCCCACACCCTCACCCCTCTCTTACATTTCCTCTACATCTTACAGGACTTCTCGCCACCTTAATTATATGACTACAGCTGCTAGACTCTATGACCCTATGTGTAGGCATGAGTCTGGCTTACCTTAGCATCTCCACTACTAACCTGGGGCCTTCCACTGAGCAGATGCTGAGTGAATGGGAGAGAAATGAGCCAGTGAACAGGAAGAATTATTTATTCCAATTTAATTTTTCTTACATTCTCAAAGAAACCAAGGAAATCCAGGTATCCATGGTTTTTTTTTTTTTTTCAATTTTGCAGAATAGAGTGAAGTATAAGGCAAGAATTAACTATCTTTTAATGTCTTGAGTTCTCTGTATAATGTATGTTATTGCTAATTCTTTCACAATTCTAAATAAATACTTATTTCACCACTGTTATTATGTCACAATTCACAAAATGGAATGGATTTCCCAATCTGAATAAAAAACAAGACTCTTACTCCTAAACTATATAAACAGCACTATGTGTGACTACTGTCATTCTTTTTTTTTTTTTTTTTTTTTTTTTTTTTTTTTTTTTTTTGAGATGGAGTCTCGCTCTGTCACTCAGGCTGGGGTGCAGTGGCCGGATCTCAGCTCACTGCAAGCTCTGTCTCCCGGGTTTACACCATTCTCCTGCCTCAGCCTCCCGAGTAGCTGGGACTACAGGTGCCTGCCACCTCGCCCGGCTAGTTTTTTGTATTTTTTTAGTAGAGACAGGGTTTCACCGTGTTAGCCAGGAAGGTCTCGATCTCCTGACCTCATGATCTGCCCGTCTCGGCCTCCCAAAGTGCTGGGATTACAGGGTTGAGCCACCACGCCTGGCCACTACTGTCATTCTTAAACTTGGATGCTGAAGTTCATTCAACCATCCGTTAAAAGGAACATTTGAACAATTCCAACAGGAAACAAAGATAAATCTCCAAGTCATCCAAAAGAACAGAAACCCACTACTGAAAATGCTGACTGCTCTCTTCAAAGAGTGAAGAATGGGCCTCATGTCACACGAGGCAGTGGAAGCTAATGAATGGGGCCCTGGAAGGTGCACTGGCCCAGACCCCCTCCCACTGGCCCTGGCTGCAACGCCTGTTCAGACTCACTCTTCCCCCTCTCTCCAAGCCCATTCATGCAGGGGTGGGTAGGAAATTTGAGGCTCTCCAGTGATCTTTAGCATATGGTACAGGACTTTCACATAGCTGGTTTCAACGAGGGCCCTTGGACCCCACAGGAACTCGTAGCATGCATGATCACTGAAGGGCACCTGCCGGTACTCTAGGTAATTTTCCTGCACCAATACTTGGGTGAGCAGCTTACTGGGATTTGCTAAGACACTGTCCTCCCTCCTGCCAGACAGCTCCAACACACTCAGCTCCTCCCAGACTTTCTCCTCAGGGGCACCGTCTCCCTCTATCGCTACTGTGGCCAGGATGATTATCAGGAGGTCTGTTGTGGGCATGATTTGATTTTCACCCAGCAGGCCATTGTAGGAGAGGCCCAGGCAGGTGACAAGGATGTACAAGTGGCCGACTGGGACCACTTCCATCACCTCGATGCCAAAGACCAGCTGCAAGTACTCGGAGGCTTTGCTGAAGATCACAGGAAAGAAGTACTGGCAATTTTTTTTTTTTTTTTTTTTTTTTTTGAGACGGAGTCTTGCTCTGTCACCCAGGCTGGAGTGCAGTGGTGCAATCTCGACTCACTGCAAGCCCCGCCTCCCACGTTCACGCCTTTCTCCTGCCTCAGTCTCCTGAGTAGCTGGGACTATAGGCTCCCGCCACCACGCCCGGCTAATGTGTTGTATTTTTAGTAGAGACAGGGTTTCACAGTCTTGATCTCCTGACCTCGTGATCCACCCGCCTCCGCCTCCCAAAGTGCTGGGATTAGAGGCGTGAGCCACCGTGCCCAGTCAGTACTGGCAATTTCTCATGACACTCTCCAGCATTTCCGCCTTTGTGACTCGCTCCCTGGCTCGATACTTGAGGAGCAGAAAATGTACCAACTCAGCCACCTTCCTACTGAGTGCTGCCTGGAAGCCGGACTCCAGGTCAGGAAAGGTGCTTGGCCCCTCCTCTTCTTGGCTGCTGGAGTCCTCATCAGATTGGCTCCAGGGTGTGTAGTTGTTGGTAGTGGGGAGGGTGGAGGCTCCCTGAGGACTCTGGGGGAGGACCCGGTGACTCGGCAGCAGACACTTCCCCCAGGGTGACTTCCACTAGAGTAGAGGAGGAGGAGGCAGTCTCCTGCTCCTCAGTAACAGGAACCTGGGCACCCACCAGGCCCAGGGCCTCTCCTCGGGCCTCAAGGCCTTCCTCAGGCTTGCAGTGCTGACTCCTCTGCTCCAGAGGCAGGCTGACTCTGGTCAGGACAGCAGGCAGGAGTGTGGGCAGGAGCTGGACAATGGAGACCCACAGGCCTGGGGAGAGGTGGAGCATGTGAGAGGCCTCAGCTGAGAACTGAACTGAACCTTGGAGGCTCTAACAGGCTTACTTACATATTTTCTCCTTTAGTGCTGTCCCAGAACCTCCAGTCCTCCTTGTCGGCCTGTCACCTGAGAACCTGAAGGAGAAAGTGAGAGGGCACCTCAGGGTACAGCTGGCCAGTGCAGGATGAGGCTGCATCACTGAGAGTAGGGAGGGTGAGGGCAGGCGCTCTGGAGTCCCATGTGATCTGGGGCGGGTGGTGCTGTTGGTGTGCATTCTAGGCAAAGCTTCAGTGTTGGCACTGTCTGCACCCACTCTGCTCTGTGACTTCAGGACACTGCCTCAGACCAAGTCCTCACTGCCTTGTTCCTGGAGCTCCTGATTCCTGGGAGAGGAATCCATGGGCCTTCAGAGTGCAGACTGCAAGTACAGCCACGAATTCGAGAATTGTCAGGATGGTTGGCCAGACTCTGTGAGGTCTCCACTCTACTAGGGTGGAGGGTCCCCTCTGTGCTCACTCAGGGCCCTCACCTTTCTCCTTGTAGGGCCTAATCCCGCCCTTTTGCTGGCCTGAGAAACTCTCATGTCAAGAACTCACATTCCTGATGTAGTACAGAAGGACATGAGGGACCAACATCTGGCTATACATGACCGGGTCCTCCTGCAAAGCACAATGAGAGATGTCCAAATTCATTGGAGTCCATGTGTCCTGGGTGATGAGCCTGCTTGGTCTTCACCTCCACTCCTCACAGGGCCTGAGAGCCTCCCTCTACTGACCTGAGTGTAGCCCCTTCAGACCAAGGCCTCCCCTTCCCTGACATCAGAGATCCCAGAATAATGGATGGACCTCAGCCGACACCACTGCCCAGGCTCTCTGAGGGAACAGCAGGGGCAGGGCAGATTTCTATGGGGCCCCTGTTTGCGTTCTGGCCCAGGAGTACCCTCAATCCTCCCGCAGGCTTCTCACCTGGATGCTTGGCAGATCTCAGGACCACTGCTTCTGTCGACTACATGGGGGCCCCTGTGTTGACCTGACTCATCCTCTGAAGAAAAGGTCCTCACTTCCCTGAGATCTGGAAACAGAAGTGAGGAGGGGCCACATCCTGTCACCCCCAAGTGGGTTGTCCAGGGCAGACCTCTTTGGTTTTAGGGTGAGGCTTCTCATGGCCTCCTATGGGTTACTCAGCTTTACTCCTGCCGAGGCCTGCCCTTCCTCAACCCCCAAGCCCCTGAAATGAGCAGACAGCTCCTCTTTACACCAACACTTTATGTCCCCGAGGGTTCCCCAACCTCCTGCCTGTGGTATAAATGAGATTGTCAATTAGAGTCATGCATGATAGGGCTCCCCTAGAGTTAAGAATAAGGGACAGCCAGACTCTGTGGCGTCCCTTCTTTCTGGGCCAGGGGTATCCCCAGTCCTCACGAAGGGGGCACACCTTGGGGCCGGCAGGTCCTGGGATTCCTCCCTCTGCTGACCTGAAGTACCACTCCTCAGACCACAGCCCTTAACTCTGTCACCCTGAAGGTGCAATGAGCATGGGGCACATTCAGCCACTGTGCCCAGCATCCCCCAGCCCAAGGTTCCCACTGATCTGGACTGTGACCTCCCCTCAGTCCTCCCTCTTCTTCCTCCCCTTGACTCCTGGCAGGGCTGGGCCCCAACCCCCTGCTGAAGTGGGTCTGCATCACTAGGATTCCCGTGGCTGAATGAAAAGGTGCCTCAGTTTGAGACAGGGGTACCGTGGGCCCCCTGTCCTGGCATGCTGGGTCCCCTGAGGACTCCATTGACTTCCAGGAGGGCCTGGGCCTTTCCTCTGCTTCCCAAAGGCCTTGCTCATGATACCGAACCCCTTCCCTCCCTTAGCCGTAAATGTGAACCTCAGGATCCGTGTGCCTGGCCGCCATTCCCGGAGCTTCTGTGGGTTGATAGCAGAGGCAAAGCCCGGATTCTGCCAGGATGGGGGTGGGGGTGAGGATGGGAATGGGGAATGGGGGATGGGGATGAGGGTGGTGTTGGGGGATCAGAATGGTAGTGGGGGTGTGGAGCGGTTACCCTCAGTCCCCTCTCGGGGCCCTGACCTTGATTTCTGGCAGAGCCTAGGCCCTGCCCTCTTCTAACCAGCCCTGCCCTGATCACACAACGCTCTGACCACAGAGTTCCCTGTCGCTAAAGCGGCGGGGGTTGGCGGAGTGATGTGGTGGCGATCCACCCTTTGACGTCTTCCCATGTGGGGTGGTCCAAGGCTGGCAGCAGAGGCAGTGCTGGACTATTTGGGGCCCTCTGTCTGGGGTGAGACCCGCCTCAGTCCTCCCTCAGCATCTCACCTTGCCTCCGCACCGAGCCTGGGCCTACTTCCCTCCGCCGATTGCAGGCCGTTGCTCAGGGCGAGAATCTCGCTGTCCTCTGACCCCCAATGTGCAAATCAGTGGTGTCACATCCGGGCAACGGTACTTCCCTGTGTCCACGGCAGGGGTGGAACCAGATTCGGCTTGCGGGGGGGAGGGGATCTGGATGGGGGTGGGGGTAAGCATGAAGATGGTGTTGGGGGTAGGGGTAGGGGTAGGGATTGGGATGGGGATCCTGAGGCTGTAGATCCTGGTGGATTCCAGAGAGTTGGGGGTGGGAGGGGCCTTTGGTCATCCCTCAGGGTCCTGACTTGGATGCCTGGCCGAGCCTAGACCGCCATCCTCTGCTGATTGTATCTGCTCCCCTCAGACCAAGTCTCTGACTCTGAGTCCCCCCGAAGTGGCATTGGGGGGAGGGGTGTGGTCGGGGTGACATCATTGCCAGTGTTTACCAGGGCTGACAAGAGGGGCTGAGCTGGACTCTGTGGTCCCACTATGTGAGTGAGGGTGGATCCTCAGTCCTCACTCAGGAGGGTCCTCTTCCTCACCCCTGGCTGTTGGATGAAGTGATGGGTGGGAGACGCTCTGTTTCTGTCACCTCTGAGCGTTTGTGCATCTGTACCCCTTGTAGAGAATGGCTACGGGTCCTAGGCCAGGTGCTGCCTGCAGGGCGGGAGCTCCCGCGATTGTAGTGAGCTCTGGGAGAAGACACACACCTTCCCACGAGGGCTCCTCCCCAGCCAGAGCTACACTTGGCAAACCTTCGGTCCTAAATGATTTATTCTCTGAATCGAAGAAATAGGGTTTACATATCTTCCAAGTATATATGTAGGTAGCAATATATGTATTTATTTCTATGAAGTAATAGCCACCCTTAGTATGCATGATTCACTCTGATATCCTATTCTACTTCTATTCCAGTCTTTGTGTCCTGTTGAAAGAATTTTTTTTAAAACATAATTCCTCTCCCACTATGTTGATTTCAGGTTGTCATTAGCAGAACTCTGGAGCCATAGTGCCTTAACCAACCCAATTTTCCTGGTGTCCTGCTATTACACTAGGCCTTTTGGCATCGTGTTTTCAGGGGCTGCCTCAGATTGTGCAATGAAGTGAAGTGGAAATTTTAAAACTTTTATTCTACCCATTCTTTCATCTGCCGTCTAAGCAGGCTATAAACCTCCCAAACATCCCTGCCACTAACCCCCTCCAACTGGCACTGCAAGTGTCAAACGCAAGTACCAACTCGACAAGGTCTTCAGTCTCACCCTGGGCTGTCCCTGTTTTGTTGCATAGATTTTGTTGCTGATGCTGGTTTTTTACTTTCTGTTTCCATTCTATAAATTTCTAGAGTTGATTTGGGAAGCAGAGCACAGCAGCCCAAATTTGCTTGTAATGTTGGTGGCTACAGGTAAGGCACTAGATTGTAAATAATTTAAGCTGAGTTTACAGTTTTACACTGCTGTGTTCCCCATGAATGAATATGTTATACTCCTCTATATATTTCAAGCTCTTTTTTTCTGAATATGTCAGTATACTTCGATAGCTGCTTGTATAAACACCTTATACATTTTTATTAGACTTCTATTCAGGTAATTATTGAACTTTCTTGCTATTGCAAATGGCGTATTGTCTATTAATTGTCATAGTTAGTTATTGCTTTCGTGAGGTGAAGATTTTGATTTTGCTGTAGTAATCTATTGCACACCTCGTTCTGACGGCCGATGCACTTGAATATTCCACATACCTTTTCCTTTGAATTTTCAAGATCAATAATGGTATTATCACTAAACATTACATGTTTTTCCAATATTCATACCACTTACTCATTTTGATACTTACAGCTCTTTGTGTCTCAATCCTGATTTCAAACGTAGAGATAATAGCCTACATCTACTTCTCATTCCTGACTTGAATGATAATTCTTCGAACATTTCACATTTAAGTATGTTTTTGTTGATTTTATGAAATGGAAGTTCTCTTTGAGTATAGGTTAACTAAATATTTTCTTTTCTTTCATGAACTCATATTAAATTTCTTTTAAAAGCTTTCTGTACCCGTTGACACAATCAGATTTTTTCTCCTCCATTTTGTATGTAAGGAATTACAATGAAACAGTTTTTTCTAATGTTAAATCATATTTTATTTCTTTGGTCAGAGCCTGTTTATTTCTTTAATATGCTACTAATTTAGGTAGGGTATTTACTGCTATGTAAGGGAGCTTACTTGATGTGTTCTTTTTCCATCAGGGGAGGGATGCGATCTTCATCTGGTTTTGAATCCAGGAGGGCTAGTCTGGAAGAATGAATTGAACAATTGTCAATCTTTTGTATGTTCTGGAAGAGTTGATGTAAGATGGTGGTTAGTTTTCCCTCATCATTTGGTAGAACTGGAATCCAAAACTGCCTAACCTGGAATGTTTGAGGGTGACTTGAGCTTTGAATATTGTACAGTTTCAGTTTATATAGCTTAATTAAAGTTTTATATTTCTCTTTGGATCAGTTTGGTTACTGATTTATTTTATTTCTACAAAGTGGTCGGTTTCATTGAGGATTTCACTTTTAATGGCATATTTATGATAAAAACGTCTCATTAGGAAAAGCCTTCACACATACAGAATAACAGAAACCAATATAATGAACCCAGTATACTTGATACCCAGCATGAACAACTTTAACTACACAGCAAATCTGGTTCCAGTTAGACACTCACCTAGCTGCATATCAGCTTCTGGAATAACATGGAGCAAATCTAAGGCATTATACCATTTTATCTCTAAATAACTTAATATGCATTTTAAAATAAAAGGACTTTTTATTAAACAAAAACCTAATAGTATTCATCTCTAAAAAGTTAAATAAATGATTATGAAATGTTCATCTATTTTACATACTTATCTGGATGACTTAAACTTTATAAAAAATATATTTCTTTGATGGAGTACCCAAATATCATAACTTTTCCCCCAACTTGCTTCTCTCTGGTTGCTTCATACATCTATAATACAGGTAGGTTTCTGTGTGTGTGTAACATTTTACACTCTGTTACGTGATTCTCCAACCTCTTAAGTTACTTTTAAACTTTACATACATTAAGCTTCACTCTTTGTGCTGCAAAGATATATGGGTTTTGACCAATGCCTACAGCCATTGTCTTAGTCCTTTTGGGCTCCCATAACAAAAATAGTGTCGACTGGGTGGCTTATAAACAACACAACATTATTCCTCACATTCTGCAGGTTGGGAAGTCCAAGATCAAGGTGCTGGCAGATTTCATGTCTGGTGAAGACCTGCTCCCTAGTTCATAGACAGCAGCCTTTTCCCTATGTCCTCACATGCAAGAAAGGGTAAAGGATCTCTGTAGGGTCTATTTTATAAAAACACTAATCCCATTCATGAGGACTCTGCTCTCATGCTCTAGTCATTCTCCAAATATCCCACCTTCCACCTACTACCGTCACCTTGGTATTTCAGCACATGAATTTTGTGGCAACAAAAATATTCAGACCAAAGCAAGCATGCAACCACCTTTACAGTATGATGGATACTAGTTTGACTGCCCTGATAAATCCCTTGTGCTTGTCAGATAAACCCCGTGGCTACCACTGACAGCTTTTTCATCTTTATAATTTTGCGTTTTCCAGAATGTCATATAAATAGAATCTTATACTATGTAGCCTTTTTAGACTGGCTTCTTTCACGTAGCATAATGAACTGAAGAGTCATGTATAACTTTGTGTGGCTTGTAACTTATTCCTTTTCATTGAAGAGTGGTAGTATCATTGTCTGGTTGTATCATAGATATATATATATGACCTTGAAAATTCAAAGGAAAAGGTATGTGGAATATTCAAGTGCATCAGCTTTCAGAACGAGGTGTGCAACAGATTACTACAGCAAAATCAAAATCGTCACCTCACGAAAGCAATATACATATATATTTATATATACATATATAGTATATTTAAATATACATATATAGTATATATTGTTGTACATATGTTAAATATATT